TCAATGAGATACTCTTCCACAGCGATTTTGATTCGATGATTGAGCAGTTTTGTCCGAACTGGATGGAGTACCGAAGAGAGAATAAAATGTGAAACAGATGCGGATTTCGCTTCATCAATGACGATCTTTCCGATGCTGTCTTCGTGTGGATGCATGGAAGGTCCGATGTGAAAGACGATATTGATACCTTCAAGTGCCTTTCTCACGTCCGATGGATTTTCCAAGTCGCCAACGAATATCTCCAAAGTGCCTCCATCTGAAAGTCCATCTAGTGCTGCTTGAAGTTGTTTGCCCGATTGTTCAGAGTGGACGAATGCTCGAAGATTATAACCGTTTTTTAGCAGGAGGGGCGAGAGGAATTTAGATATTTTTCCTGCGGCACATGTGATAAGGATTTTTTTTGTCATTGCATCCAAAGACTACCTGTCGTGTGTATGTGTGAGGTGAACGAATGAAGCACACACAAATATCAAGAGAAAAAAAAGAAAAAAAGGAAAGAAAAAGAAAGAGAAATGCGTGTAGTTCGAATATGAGGTTATTAAGCGTTATCGTTTATACGTGTTTTTTTTCTTCACAACCAGCGCTATTCAAAACATCATTCGAACGCATTTATTTGTCATGCGTATAAACCAATGCTCGATTTAATTTTGGCTACTCTGAACTTGTTCGACATTTGATTTTTGAATGATGTTTTACATTTTATCTAATTTCGTAGTTTTCAGAAAAATATTTATTATCTATAGCTAAAGCCATAATAGAAATACGTACGCATTCTTATAAACGACACTCATGAAAAAAACTGTTAATTTTAAAATTCTTCAAAACGTTTGAGTTGAAACTAACCTGGTTTCCGAGTATCCTAGTCACACAACCGAGATATTTTACTACAAATCAGTTTTTCTATAAAATTCATTTTGTACGTTACATTTTCGTGTTGCTTTGTTCGACGATGATTTTTCTAGTTGCCGGATTTCTGCTTGAGAATACAAATACGAACGTAAATCAGAATGTCTTCCTAAATATTCAAGTACATGAGCGGCTCCTTGTGTCAATTTCTCATAAACCAAAGGATTAATATTAGGGTGTGGGTATGAGTGTGTGGGTGTCGGTGTGGATGCGGGTGTGGGTGAGTGTGGATGTGGGGTGTGTGCATGTGGGTGTGGGGTGTGGGTATGCATGTGTGAGTGTCGGTGTGGATGTGGGTGGGTGTGGGTGTGTGGATGTGGGTGGGTGTGGGTGTGGGTGTGTGGATGTTGGTGTGGATGTGGATGTGGATGTGGGTGTGGATGTGGGGTGTGGGGTGTGGGATGTGGGTGTGGGTGTGTAGCTTTCATTCGGCACCCACACCCACACCCACACCCACACCCACACACCCATACCCCACACCCACCCACAGCCACATCCACAACCACACCGACAACCACACACCCACACCCCACCCATACCTCACACCCACCCACAACCACACCCACGCACACCCCACACCCACACCCACACACCCACCCCACACCCACACCCACACACCCACCCCACACCGACAGCCACCACCCACACTCTACGTAAAATATATTTTGCTTGTCTAAAGAAGAAGAACAGAATGAGTCAATACCTGAGATAATGATAAAATAAATGTGGAAACCTCGGATTTAAATCTGAAAGTTATGTGTACTTCAAAAAGTGAATGAGACTGATTCGTCATCCTAGAATGTGTGGGGATAAAAATTATCCTGGCAAACCTTTTCTATAAACAGTTGATTTCTATTGGCTACTGCTCAACCACTAGGATTTAGAGCTGAATAGAGCTCAGATTTGAACTCTTCGCCTTGATTTACCCTAGGAAAGTCGTTTTTCCGATAACTTGATTTCTATTGGTTACTGCTAAGCCAATAGGAGTTCGAGGCAAAAGGAGCTCAGATTGGAGTTCTCCGACCCGAAAAACCTCGAACTGTCATCTGTATGATCGAAAGACAGAGCTCTAATTGTCAATCAATTAGAGTGTGAACACAAACAGAACCAATTGCCGTTTAATTGCCCTTGCAATAGATGAGTTATATTTCTTTATGTCTTATATACTATTTTGTAGCTCGTGAAATTCTCTATCGAACGGTGTATAATAGTTGGGGTTTCATTTGACTATGATAGGGAAAGTGTTTTACGAACGTGGAGATAGGTCGATTTTCCTATAGAAAGCCATAGGGAAAAATGAGTATTCTTGCAATAACTCAGGAACGGCTCGGCCAATCCTTCTCATTTTCGAACTCGACCGAGATATTGTTGAGACTAAACTGTGTAGAAAATTTCATCGCAATCGGATTCTCCTTTCAAAAGTTAGCTTGTAAACGGCCGAACGGACGGATGGCCGGACATACTGACTGATTCTAGAGTGTATTCACTTTTGGAGTACACAAAAAACATGATTTATTTGTTCAGAATGAATTACATGACAATTCGTAGTGAAAAAAAAATAATGAGGTGTAGGTATCAGTGAGATGAAAATCATAAAGTGAGCCATACTAATCGTCTACGCTTGCATTTTTGCATCAATTCACTCACATCATAGAATATCAAATACAAATAAAGACTTGTAAACATTTTGTTTTTTTTTCCATTTTAATATTCTTATTTAGCGTATGATTATAAAATTATAAATTATATAGAAAATCGTGTAAAATAGTACAAAAACATGAAAATTAATCAGATTTCATTTCTTAAGAAGAAAAACCTAGATAAATTTACATGAATAGCCTATAGATATTCCAGTGGACGTCATTCAAGGCACGACTAAGGAAAATTTTTTGATGGATATAACATCTTGTCTATAATTAGCTTTTAACGGAAAATTTAAAAATGATACTCTCAGAAGCTAAAAAGAAGAGCAGAACAGAAAATTTCGCATATTTTCAAAAACCATATGTTTGTTTTTAATTACAACTTCCATTTTTTTGACTTATCGTGACATGCAGGTGACATTCTATCAAAACCGTGAGTAAAAAAGACAAAAAAAAAAGATTTATGTGATGTTCGCACTGCCTACGCCTTACAAATATGGAAAAAGAAACATTCACTTACTATAAAGTATAGGATGTGGTCGTAGATCTGCTCTTAATCCATGCAATCATTGCCAAAAACATGTTTTCTGTAAAATATGATTAGTATATTTCTAGCATTAAAATAAAACATCTTTATTAGGCATAATACAACAGTATCTTTTCTTTTTAGTCTCATACAGAGATCGTGGAACCGGTGGTGTATTACCTCCTTGTAATCAAAAAATCTTTTTGCTTTTCCTATTAGAACCAAAGATTTTTCTTGCGTCTTCTTAGACTAAAAGTCTTAACAGCCTTCCAGTGTTGACTGCTTCAAGCCAACATTGCTCTCATATATCGTCTTTCGATTTTGACTTCTCTCAAATTTCATTCTTTACTAATATTTTGTTTTAAATTCACTCTTCATATATAGAATCACATGGGCTCTTTCAATATTTATTGCAATAAATATTGAAAGAGCGTATGTAAATCTACAGGTAGGGAATGAATTCGAAAGTAAAAGGAATATTAGTGAAGAATGAAATTCGAGAGAAGTCAAACTGCGAAGGTGATTCTATAGTTCTTCATATCATTGTAAGTTTGTTCGAAGGCTTTCGAGTATAAAAAATGTGCGTTCTTTTACTGCTTGTCTGACTGAATCATTGTATATCACATCATCGTCAGTATGCTCTTCTATGAATGGTCAGGTAAACAGCTTTGAATAACTTATTCATGATCATTCTGTGTCTCGTGCAGAGGCGGCGCGAAGGGGTCAAAGTAAGGGGGGGGGGGGGTAATTTGGAAAAATGGGAGAAAATATGAAAAACATCAGATTTTGAGGTAATAGTTGAGCAAAAAAGACGAAATTTTCAAAAGCAGGGGGTACCAGAGACGTGCACCGTCCGCGCGGTGGCGGCAGGCGGCGCGGTGGCGGCCGCGCCGCCGGCGCGGACCGCCCGCACTCTAATGTCAAATTTCGTTAATACTTTGGCGGCCGCGCCGCCGAAAAGAATTTTGAGGGCGGCGGTGACGCGGCTGCGCCGCGCCTTTTAAATTCGCCGCCGGGCGGCCGCCCATGTAAAAAAAATTTGTTCAAAAAATCATGAAATAATCGATTAAAAATCAATTATAATCATACGATTTTAATCAATAATTTTAGCAGTAATAATCATAGCAAAATCAGGTTTTAATCGATTACTTCAATTATTCTGATTATAATCGATTTTTAAAAATATTCTAAATCGATTATAATCAGAATAATTGAAATAATCGATTAAAACCTGATTTTGCTATGATTATTACTGCTTAAATTATTGATTAAAATCGTATGATTATAATCGATTTTTAATCGATTTTTTGGTTATTTTTTTTACATGGACGTCTACATCATACTAGCTATTAAAATTTCTTTAAATTGAATTTCGAAAAGCAAAGCCAATTTTACTGTCTTTCGACGGCATCTATGTATTTTTTATGTTAAATTAAATGTCAAAAAATGAAATGGCATCGGGAGAATATTTATTATTAAGAGTAAACCAAATTTCAGTGTATTCTCATGGTAATAGTTTTCAACTGGAACGTTATGGACTATGCCTTATATATTTTCTCTGATTCTTTCAAGTCTTTTCGTCACACATACTAGATATATTATTCGTTTAAATTGTTCGTTTCGCTGATATAGAATATTATTCTACTTGCGTAAAGTTTTGTCCGTCCATCTTGTCTCTCTCGTATTTTTCTCTCTCTCTTAATGTTTCTATACTTTTTGTGTAAATGTATTTGTCGATAAACTATACCAATAATAGTTCCTCACGTATTTAGTTATTCGTTCTTTCTTCTTCTTATAATACCCATCACATTTTCTAACAAATAATGGAACATATTGATTCTCGATATTTTCTAGATTAATTAGACCTTATGTATATTCATATGTATATTTAATTATTTATTAAATTGATTGTGAAAATCTCCAATATGTTGGGTGGTAATAATAGCCAGCCTATTATTGATTTGTCATGTGAGGACAACGGTAGTATGTCAACACCAATGAACAATCAATTGTTATTTGAACAATTAGATAAAATTGATGAAAAAACACCACAACAAATTACGAAAGTAAAAGATCGTATTCAAGCTGCATTGAAAATGAATTCAGAAGAATTTAAAGTATGATGATGCTTTTAAAAATAGAATAATTTCAATATAAGTATGATTGAAATTCTAGATTGTACTTCGAGATAAGTCACAATCACGACAATATTCAGCTGATTGGTGGTCTATATTTGGAATTCCAACACAAACATTAGGTGAAAAATGTTACTCAATGCAAAATTTCGTTGCCTGTAAAGAATGTAAAACTGTTTATCGATATAGTAGAACTACTAGTTCAGATAAAATAAAAAAACATGAATGTTATCTAGAAACAATTAAACAACAAAACACAAAAAATTCTTTATCAGCATTTGAATCTACGGCATATGTTAAATCAACACAATCAACATTATCAAACTATTCATTCGGACAGATATCTAATCATGGTTCTGGTAAAAATATAAAATCAAAATGTAGTGATTTGATAGTCGATTGGATATCAAGCAATATACGACCATTGGGCATTGTTGAAGATGCTGGGTTGCACGAACTTTTACAATTTTTCTATGAATTGGGTGAGTTTTTTAAAAAACATAGTTTTATTAGCGAATTCGTTTTAACCGTTAACGTTTAATTCATGATATATTTCATAATTTTCCCCTCCAGAACTTCTAAAATATTCTTCTTCATTTAGGTATTAAAATGAAAGATGCCAATTTGAAAATAAACAACTTCATTCCATCACGATATACAATTTCCAGAAATATTCATTCTATTGCTGAGCAAACTCGAGCAAAATTTAAAGAATTGTTATTGGAACCACTGAAGAATGATGCTGTTACATTATCACCTGATTTATGGACTGATCGATTTAAACAGATCAGTTATTTAGGTATTACTGCCACTTTAATTAACTCATTGCATAAATATCAAACGATCACATTATGTTGTACCGAATTTACTGAAAACGAGAAAACTGCAAATAATATAGAAAAGGTTAACATAGCTTTTTTGCGCCACATAAACGAAATATTAGCGACATTTATTCTTTTTAAATAGATGTTAAAGAATTGCTTATCGGTATATGGTATAACAAATCTTGCTGATGTGAATTGGGTCTGCGATCGAGGTGCAAATATTTTAAAATGTTTTAAACAAAATAATATTGAACCAATAAAATGCTATGCACATCGATTAAATGGTCTTCTTAGTTATACATTTATTAATAAAGATGCAGATGTTGAATGTGAAGAAGAACTTTTAACTACACTTATGAATGTAATTGATCAAATATTTGAAGAATCCATCGAACGTCAACGATTATTAGAAACAATAAATTCATGTAAAATTTTAGTTAAATATGCTAAAAAAGTATGATCAGTTTTTCGTGTATTGATTTATTGTTCTGTTTGTATTAAACGAAAACTCTTTTGTTATTTTTTCTAAAACTTTTGTAACTATATGAGATTCTTTTGAAGCAGCACCTTATAGTGAGAAGACAGTAGTGGGATAAGATATGATATAAAATAGACAGAGAAATGAGTTTGAAATCCGTTTGAAAGCTTATATTATTTAATCGAGTTTGTTAAATATATATGGTATTTATTTGTTTCACAATTATTTTCAGGATTTACTTTTTATATTGTAAAAATATGTCATTCTCTTAAGGCTGGATTGATTGAAATAATTAAACATCAAGCTGATAAAAATGGTGGTTCTGGCACGTCATTGAAACAGCAAGCTGCATCAAGATGGTTAAGTTTATATAATTGTTTGGAAAGTATTCTTGATAACTATGAAGCCATTACAATTGTATTGAAAGAAAAAAATAAATTGAATTTAGTCCAGATAATTTCTAAATTAGTTGTAACACAATTATTAATTCTACTTTTACCTTTACGATGTGCAACAAGAGATATTCAGAACGATCAGCATCCAACTCTTTACCTTGTTCAACCATTTCATCAATTATTAATTCGTACTTACTCATCTTATACAAATTTACGTAAATTTGCTCTTGATTTTGATGCAAAACGTTTTAAACTGTTCTGTGATACATATCCGAATGAAGATACAGAACCAAGTGGTAAGTAGAATTTAGGATTGTTTTTAGACTAAGTTTATTTGCACCCTTAAGAAAAACAGTGATCCATACTTTTCTAAAATATAATCCACAAGATCTTTCAAAAACTAATTATATATAGATGGACTAGATGTAGCTGTGTTTAATAGGATAAAATTTTGCGAAAGAAAAATTTGATTCGTAGATTTTTTTTACAATCGATGTGACAAAACAATCCACGTATATTCAACTAAGTCTCATTTATGCGAATGTTCCAATTGATCTGTATGGGTACCGCTAAAGTATTAAGAAGTAAACACTTCATATTACTCTCACTATAGAAACACACTTGAGAATAGATTGATTTTATGGCTTTCAATAGAATATTTCAATAGAAATTTTTTGCTATCTTTTTTAGGTGTTAAATTTTTTCGAGAACAAATTCATGAATTATTGATGGAAATGGACACGTCCAGTTTTTTCGATGACAAACATTATTTTGCTACATTTCTTCATCCGAAACATAGAGATATGAGTGAGTCAACTGATCTTCATAATTTGTTTAATAACAATGAATCATTTCTCATTTTATCTATAAGAGTCCATTTCGACTACTAAAAAGTTCGAAATTTTAACACGTTTACGTTCGATTTTATTTAACATGAAGCCAGTCTCAAATTCCGACAATATAGTTAATTCAAATGATCAAGAAGAACAACGAAAAAAATTCAAGTCATTAAATTATTATCTTGCTGATTTTGAAGATGATACAAGTAGGTATTTGGATTTTTTTATTAGAAACTGCCTAAAATCACTTTTTTATGTAGTTAGAAAAACAGAACAAACGACATTACAAAATGATGATGATATTTCATTAATTCAGTCATCACAAGCTGGTTGTCACTCACCTGAATATGCTTTCATGACAACGACATATCAAGTATCAAAACCCGATGAAATAGATCAATATTGTGCTATGAAAATTCCTTGCCATTTGATCGGAAAAGATCCTATGTTATTCTGGTCTCAAAAATACGTTCAAGAAACTTTACCATTATTATCAAGATATGCTCGAACAATTCATGCTATTCCACCAACATCAGCCTCAACTGAGAGGCTTTTTAGCATATCTGGCCATACTTTAAATAATCGTCGAACAAATCTATTACCATCACACTTAGATGACATACTAGTCATTCGATCAGGTGTACATTTGAAAGTTGAGAAACCTAATGATTAATAGGTGTATTATTTTTTACGTTTGAAATATAAGATTATGTACTTGGTTTTCTCTTTCTTTCTATTCTCGTTTGATGTTATGTACAATTGTACTATATTCTAAGTCTTCATTGTTTTCTTTAGTGTTCTCTACTTGTATAGTTGCTTTTCTTTGATTAACTTTATACTTTTTAATAATAAATTATATGAAAGATGAAAGTATCTAGCGAAAGTGTATGTAAACCGTTGTTCTCTCAAATTCAGTATTGCTTAAAAAGCATTCTGACCTCATGTTAATGCAATAAGTCTGTAGAATGGACCGAGAAAATAATTCTACAGATATCATAAGGCGGCCGCCGGGCGGCAGCCCGGCGGCGCGGCCGCGCCGTCCCTGATGAAACAAGAAGCGCGGAGCGGCCGCGCCGCCACTCGAAAAGGCTTTCAGGCGATGGGCTGCCACCGCCGATGCATTAAGGTTTACGTTATCTTCCGCGCCGCCGCCGCCTAGATTTTTAGGCGCGGTGCACATCTCTGTTAGAGAGAAATTGCTCACGAACGAATTGCGAAGGTATTAGCAATGCAGATCAAATTATAAAGAAGAAATCGTAGTGAATCAATTACATGTAATGTCATGCAGGGACAGTAGGTATGGGTGTGCGTGTGTCTCTTCTTTCCAATACACCCACACCCACACTCACACCCAAAACGAGCCAATCCTGATCCAGCAGAACTTGGTCAATATCTTTATTTTTCGGGGAAATATTCTTCTGAGATAAGGTCAACATTCGGAGGCGGTTCACTATTTTGAAGAAGGCCTGACTAAAATTCTTATGGTTAAGAGTAAAGATGACGCATCATTAGCAGTTATCTACTCTAATATCGGTAGTACTTACTGTCAACTGAATAAATTTACTGAGGCATTATCTTACTTACCAATTGAGTTACGTACTTTGTCGGACAATACTCCAACGATTGCGGCGACGTATGCAAGCATGGCTGTGGTTATTGGCGGGTCTCAAACAATTTTTTAAAGATACTTCCATTTGATCATGAAGATGTACAACAACAAAAGTCTCTCATGGAAACAATGCGAAAAAAACAGCTGAAATTAAACATCTACAAGAAATAGCTGATCATTGTTTACATCCTGTTCAATATCATTAAGGCGGGGTGTGGGTGTTATTGTAAAGAGTAGATACCCATCTGTACCCATGATCACAACCATACCTACGCAGATCTAACCACACCCATACCCAAAACTTCATACTAAAGTGATGACGATGATAATCTCATCACAGTTCTCATAACACATTCATTTTCATAAGATTTTTCTGATGTTAAAATTCGAAATAAACTATCATAGATTCTTCGAGCAAATCGAATTTCAATCCGTTTTTGTTATTCTTTAAAATCCTCAAATGTAATGATAAAATTATTTTTAGTGAAAGATTAAACGCTGTATGTTCTTGATCATTTGAAAATCGAATAAGCAATAAACGTTCAATAGCATGTGCTCCATATATTTGTACCATAATATTGTTTCATGATAAATATCGAAGACATTCAGATCATGATTGAAGTAAAACATTACAATCAATTTAATTTCGAACATCGAATAAAAATTTCAAACAATCAGCTTTTATTAATGGAAGAGTATAGACTGATAGCAAATTAAAAAACGATGATATTTTGAGCAAAATCAAAAAATTTTGATATTCTATCTTAATTTTCAAGTTCAGATAAAAAACTTTTAACATACGTTTTCTGTTTTGCCACTCGATGCATGTGGCCTTGTTTTAACCAATTTTGTGCTGAATTTTGTAAATATTCCTAAATTAAACGTTTCATGTTAAAGCTTTGATTTTCGTTTTCAGTATATAATGCGGATAATATCAAATTGTATATCGTTTTTAACTCTGTCTATTCAATGATGATGGTAGTTCATTTAATACTGATTTATATTTTCTTTATTACGATGCCAAATCATGTATAAAACCAATAGGAGTATTGCAGTTCGGAACAATTCTACCGATGAAAAAATGCTCTGCACATTGAAGAATAATACTGAACGAAAGACTACCCTTCAGTAGCTAGATTTCTACGTGAATGCAAAAAGGATTATAATATATTCTTCTGAATTATATTCAACTCCTTTCACATCCAATGCTAAATATAATTCAAACCTCAAAGAAATAAATTTTGTAACATAAATTGTTAACATACAATTTTCAAATTATCATCACCTTCAGACATACAACAATGATGATTTCGAGCAGCTAAGTTTGATAAAAATCGCAGTTGCTGTACTGAAAAACTTCAAATACACGAAAAAATATCATAATAATTAATTAAAATTAAAATTTTGCTTTATCAAAACATGATGAAAGATCTAATCCTGTTAATAAATACCAAACTGCTAAAGGTAATTGTTGTGCAAATGGTTTACAATCATCACTACAATTATTTACATAAAGGATAATAGGACGACAAATTTCGATCTTAACTTGATCTAATATTTCAGGATCATTATTCTAAATAAAAACAAACGATTATTACAGAGCTAGAATTGAACAACAAAAAAAAAAAAACAAATTTTACATTTGAATGAAGTGTTGGATGATCATAAGAAAGAAGTGTTAAAAAATATGTCATATAACTTGTTACATTATCCTCAAATTGTTTAGGTAATGTCTAAAATAAAATAAAAAACCAAAATTTCGTATTGAATATACTTGAGCATTAAGATCATAAAAGGTTCTTACAATAATGTATAAAGAATGAAGAATATTTTTTTATTTCAATTGGATTCGATTCTTTTTGTGGATAATATACTATTAATGATAAAGGAAGAAAAAAAATAAAATGTGCAATTTTTATTTTCCTGTGAATAATTCAGAAAAAGCAGATACAAATTCTTTGAGAACTAATTTAATTTTCGACCATAATTCATTTGATTTTTGTTCATACCTATATTGTTGAAAAAGTGAATGTGCTGTTTCTAAAAGTCCATTGATTGATTGAAATGAATTTGATGATAGTTTTTGAAGTTGTTTTACCATGATATCGAGTAATTTCTGACTATTGATCAGAAAAATCACATTTTCCAATAACTCTTATTGCATCAAATAATTTTTATTGAATATGCTCGAATGATCATGTCATTAAATCAATGATGTGTTCTTCTATATGATTTTGATCACAAATTGATATAGAATTTGATTCATCAAGTGATAGTCAATCACAGTTTATAAAATTTTTAAAAATTATTACAAATACACGACGACTTTCATCGAGTTTTATTGAACGTTCACACAGTGTTAGTAAAGGAGAAGAATAATTTTTATTATATTATCGGATGTACCAAAATGTTTGCAACATGCTGTATTTTGCATATATATCAGCATAGATAATAAAAACTGGACTTTTTTTCAAAAAATGCGCCGTGAAAAGCTCTACAAAAGCTGTAAGAACAAATTTCTACTGAAAATAGAAAAGATCTTCCAAAGGTTTTTATTATTTTAAATACGGTGAAAAGTAGCACTAATATGTATGTGTTTCATTTTGGCGATAGGAAAAAACCATCAGAACATGTTAGTAGGAATTTGTTTCGACATTTTTTTGTAGAACTTATCACGGCGCATCTTTTGAAAAACAATCAAACTTTTTATCATTTATTCAGGAGATTCATACAAAATACAGCCTGTTGCAAACATTTTGGTACACCCACTATTTTGACGAGAAATAAATAATTGTACATTAATGAAAAAACTAAATTCTTGCGTGAAGCATTATGTATACTACAAAATAGTAAAATTTTGCAAGTTAACGCAGAATTGCTTCACTATTGAGTTCCATAAATAGGACGCTTTTGCATATCTACGCGAGTCATATACCTTACATGAACCTGAAAGATCAGCACATGCAGGTATCTGAAAACATCAGAGGCATGTATATGTTGTTCATCTGCATTTATACTCAAAAACTGTAAATATTTCAAATGCCTTGCAAGATTTCGTATGAGATCAAACGAATTAAAAGTATTTTGCAAGTAAACGGATGTTTTAAAAAACTTCTTGCAAATACACGCGCTTTTTGAACTTTCGCGTTGGATTGGACAGTATATCGATGAGTATAATGTGTACTCTATCGACGATCTTATTTTTGAAGTCTATTAAAACTGATAGAATTGTGTCGTTTTCGATGCACTGTAATACAGTTGGTGTGTGAGTCGTCTATACCAAGCATAGAGATCAAATTAGTGCCGATTATGGGATAAATTTTGATTATAGATGGGACTGCAAAAATTTTTACTTAGTAACATATATTCTAAAACTGTTTTCTTCTCAGTTAATTTGAATTCTTGCTAATGGATAATTCGAGTTTCAATAGAAAACACTCTCTACAATCGTTTATAGCTGAAGTCGAAAGTCGCAAGCGCTACTGTCTGTAAAACGTCGATATAATGTTGGTTCTTATAAGTATCGCGGTATATCGATGGTAGTGCAAACGATCATATGGCATGAGTTTCCCTTTCCTGTACAGATTTGAAACACTGTGACAGAACACTTGTCATAGATGCTCAATATTGCATTTAATAATTACTCTGATGACACTATGGGGATGGGAGACACAGAAAAATGGCTAGTGGTGACATAGGAAAGTGCATGGTACAAAATCAAGAAAAGGTCAGGATGTAATATGTTAACGGTCGCTTATTTTCTTATTGCTCATAATCATTGGCTCCACTTGTGATTGGTGTCGATCTATCATCTGATGGATCGAGTGAATTTGACAACAGTCAGGAAATGAAATATGATATAGCATTATAACTATCACCATCATTATCAAATCCTTTTATAAATGTTTCTGAGCAAGAAGTATTAGAATCAAAAGCTCGTCTTTTTCGTATTCTACTTAAATCATTATTAATGCAGCTTGCCTTTCGACATAACCAATACAAAGGCAAGCGTTGTGCAGCACAACCATGTCATACTATGTGTGGTTGAAAAGGAAAAAAATCCTTTTTTTTCTTTTATTCAATTTACATAAAGTACAAGAAAAAGTTTTTCTGTCGTATCATCAAATCGAAAATATAGAAAAAACAAGTCAAAACAATTTTGTTTTTTTCATTCATCTATTGAACACATAAAAAAGTA